TCTGAGTATCTCCAAAGGATACTGAGACCTTAAATTTCTGTAACTATACCAGGACAGCCATAGTAAAATGGATGAATCTTTCTGGGTCAATTTTCCTACATCAACATAATAAAGCAAGTTATGCGCTAAGAAGAATTTATTCAACTTTTATGAAATAGCCTAAGGACTTTCACAATCTGCAATCAAATCAGAGGATTACAATATCTAGAAATTTCTGCATTCCAATAACTTAAGGTTCCATCAGTTTTGTAAGACACTGAATGAGGTTTTCATGCATGGTAATAGTGTTCCTTAAAACACACAAGAAAAATATATAAAGGAATTACAGTATTTGTAAAGTCAGTAAAATACAGATAGTCCCTAACTTAGGATATTTTTTACTTTATCATGGTACAAAAGTGATATCTATTCTGTAGGAACTAAACTTTGAAGTTTGAATTTCAGTCTTTTCTTAGGCTAGAGAGTTATGTTAAGATCCTTCCTCCTGCACTGCTCAACAGCACAGTGACCTAGTCAGCCCCATAATCACAAGGGGAACTAGGTAGAACTTTGCAGTGTAAGCTCGGATGTTGACTAGGCCAGATGGATCCAATGCATTTTTGTTTACAATATCTTCAAAGTATGATGAGTTTATCAGGACATAGTACCATCACAAATCGAGCAGGATCTGTATTATGATATAACATTAAGCCTGAAGATTCATAAGATTTACCAGTGTACACTGGAAAAGTACTAATCATAGACAGAATCATTAATTAACAACACGGAGTTCACAGCTAACAGTAAGTTAGGCTTTCAAGGAAACATGGAACCTTAATGCCCTCTATATTTATTTATTGTATTTAGGACAGGGGGTACAGGGTGTACAGGGTCTCACTGGGTATATCAGACTTTTGTGATCTTCCTGTTCACAGCCTCCCAAGTGCTGGGATTATAGGCACACCCCACCACACCCAGTCTCAATTGCTGTTTCAGCATGTCCTGTAGGGGGGGGGTGGAGCAGGCACCACAGGCCTGGAGATCAAACCCCCAGCCCCTGAATCTGCCTAAGCAGGTGTTTTAATCTCCTGAGCTATTTGGCCAGCCCCTATAATGCCTTTATTTATTTATTTATTTATTTATTTATTTGTGTGTGGCCAGCTCAGCCCACCAGGGGGCGGGGCTGGCTGGCATGTGGTGCTGGGGGATTGAACCGAGGTCCCTGTGCTTTGTTGAGCTTGTTCTAAGTAGGTGCTTTAGACCACTGAGCCATCTCACCAGCCCCAATATAATGCCCTTTTTTTAAAATCAATAGAACAGTCAAAATTGTTAGCATGAGAAGACTGGCAGCTTGTGAGTAGGGCAGTAGGAGCCCAGAAACACAAAACAGGGCAGTCAAGATGGCAGTGAGCCAAGCGCACACAGCTCGGAAGGTCAGCCTCTTCAAAACTTTCAGGGACATGTTTCTTAATGAGGAAATAAACAACATGAGATTGCATGTCAGAATCGCCCAAGACAGGACTCCGAGTTGTAGCTTAAAGCATACACCTAAGGAAGATGGTCCCTGCAGGCCATCTCTGCAGGGAAAGTTACAAGCACTGTCCACCACTGTATCTTGAAGCAAAGGGAAGTGAGTCCCCTCAAGGATGACAGCTCCCCACAGTAGAGCTGGAAGCCACATGAAATAACAAGCCATGGACTTTGGCAAAAGATTCCTGGCCTGGTGTAGTTAGTAAGAAATTGGGCTCTATTCTTAAGCAAAGGCTATCAGCAAAATGCCCAACAGAGTAATGTGCTTCCCTGCTCTTCATTAAGGGACAATGGCGCTGAATCAGAAGAATATGGGAAGGAAATAGAAAAGATAAAAAACCTAGCAAGTGCGGCATGGTGGTGCATCTGGCTATAATCCCCTGTAATCCTAGAATTTTGGGAGGCTGAGGCAGACGTACCATTGTGAGTTCAAGATCAGCCTGGGCTACACGATGAGCTCAAGGCCACCTTGCACTACACTGTGAGACCCTGTCTCAAAAAAAGCAAAACAAAAATGATTTGGATGGAAAGTCTGAAATTAAATGAGTTAGGTACACAATATGTGACCCTTGAGCATAATCATTCATTTATTCTACAAAGATTTATTGAGCACTGCTGCCTGGGGGCAATTCTGGGTGTTGAGGATGCACAGGCAGATAAGACAGACAAGGTAAAGGCCTGCTATGCCATGGGAGGGACTAATGGAGTTATTTAGATTGGATGTTCAGGAAACTCAGGAAAGATTTAGGGTATTATTACAGTGACATAATCATAATAGTATCATGGTTGGCAGCATAGACTGAATCCCTTCTTTGGGCCAAGTAGATTATGTCATTTCATCCACAATGCAGTCCTCTAGGGAAGCACTATTGAGGAGCAGAAACATAAAAGTTAAATAGGTCCCTGCCTCCAGAGACCCTTCAGCACATGTACTTTCTCTCTGTGTGGGCCTTGAGAAAGGTTACAATGGGGTGTGGTATGGCAGGAGGACCTGAGAGAGAATGTCCCCTGGCAATACTGTGTCATGGGGAAAGGAATGGGAAGCAGGGTTCAAAAGGTCACAAGCTCCAGAAAGGAGAGCAACCTGAAGATTATTGGTGATGCGGCAAGAACAGTTTCAGTGAGGGAGAAAGCCCAGAAGGCAAGGGAAAGCCTTCTCTTCCAAGAGATACAGAGTAGAGGCAGCACGCTCTGTTATGGTGGTGGTTGTTCTGGTTTTGGTTTGGGCTAGAGAAGAGAAAGGCTTGAGGGTTGAATCTAATGAGAGAGAAGTATAGAGGAAATAACAGATGTAGTATATTTCCTGTGGGGATGAGAAGGGTTAGAAAGCAAAGCACAGGTTGAAGACTAAGTCTTAGGCAGGAAGAGCAACACCTCTCTCTGCTGTGAGGGAAAGGAAGAGACTAAGAAAGATGGCAGACGGGTATGAGGCAGCTGCCTAATTTGTCTTCTCTGAAGACATCTCCTAGGAGAGATGAAGACCCTGTGGAAGTAGGCTTAACTTTGAAATACATCTTGCGGAGAATGAGGTTTGATGCTCTTTGTGGATGTTTAAAAGGTGCCAAGTTACCCTGAGCATTCCATGGAGCTCAAAAACGTTGTATGAGGGGCAGCTCAATCTGCACAGCTGTGAGATTTCCTGCAACAGGGCCAACAGCTGGGCCCTGCAGAATCCTGAGCCATGCTGTGTGGCAAAAGCTGCTTTGGCAGCACCTGTTCTGGGCAGATCACTTCAGTCTTTCATCTAGCTCTTCTTGTACAGTCTTCAATTCATGAACCATTCCACAACCAAAATGAAACTAATTTGCAGTGCTAGAATCTATCTTCAATTTAGCTATTTAGGAAAAAAATCCATAATCTAGAGCATTTGAGTATAAAATATATATTCAAATAGAAAGTAGTAGGGGATCCAAGTTCATTGGAGCTAAACGGAAATAGCTTGAATGTTCCTTGCAGTATTCTATTCCTGTATATATGTCACAACTATTGTTTCCAATTCATTTAGAGATCCCTTTTAAATGTTAAATACACAGCATCCCCTGGAATGTAATCGTTAAACATTTTGATATACAACACAGCAGCCACTTTACAAGAAAAGAAACTCACAGAGCATTTTGTTACCACTAAGTGCATACAATGCACATGTACCAGAAGGGTATCTGGCACGGGCCCACCTGGATTAGTCTGCCACTTGCACCATAATTCAGAATCTGTTTCTGACCCATGTCTTACTGTTTTGTAATTGACAACTTCCAAGGTTTACCATGGTGGTACAGAAATGTTCATCGTTACTTTCTAGCTCATTTGCAAGTACGTTTCCATAGGGAACATATAAAAATATTTAAAATAATAAAATAAGATAGTAAAAACTATTTTACCACTCCCCCACCATTTTCCACTGCAAATATAAACTGATGCAGGAAATATTTACCAGAAGTTTAGAACTAAACAGATGATGACAGCAATGTTTTCACTTTAAGTCAGTAGCAATTTTGGTAGTTAAAGGAGGACTGAGTAATTTTAAATTTTCAAACTACATATGGGACATCTGGAATTTTCAAAAAACAGACCAAGTTTTGGTGCTTATTAAGCACTGACTGGGTGAAAAGACATTGAAGAAAAAGATGAAATTCAAGAAATTTTACTAGTTTAAGAATGCAGAGATTTCCTTTTGAAATATTGCTTTTCTCTTCCCCAAACTTGAAGGCATTTGACATGAATCACACCATTTAACTACATCAAATGTTCTGGTATTACTTTCGCTGAGGTCTTCTGAGGACTTCAGAACAAAACCTTGAAACAAGGAAAATGACTTGGCTATCACCTCAAGATGTATTTCTGAAAAGTACACTTCTTCTCTTCCCTGAAGGAATCAGAGCTAGTTTCTAATTATCAACCCACTTTGTGCTTTTGGCTAAGAAGACCTTAAAGTTCTACTTTCATCTCCTTATAATACCTACTTCTTTAACTGTACAGGAATACTGAGCTTTCTCAGGGTCAATAAATCTATTTACTAGCAATTCCTTGCAGTTTGACTTCAATATTTAAAAACTTTTCTCTGGCACGATGCAATAAAAATATTAAATCCATCGTAATTTCGCTGTAGGTTGCACTCAGATAATGATGTCATTGATGGAATCAGGAAAGGCTGACATACACTGAAATAGATGATCTCAAGTAATGTGAATTCAGGAAAACTCGGAGGAGTACTGTGACATATTTAAAATTGCTACGGTTGTGACCCGGGCGGCTTCTGAGACTGACAGATGGAAAGTATCTTGAAACGGGAGCGTGACACGGTGGCAGATCTCTGGATGAAGCTGGAAAAGTAGGGTTTTCCTTGAGTCGGGTCCAGAGGAGCAGGCTGTGAATTTAGGGGAGGCAAGGAGAGAGGAGCGAGCATTCCTGGGAGGAGTGGGGCGCCAGGCCGCCGGGAGGGGCGAGGGAAGGGAGGCGGGAGCGGGGCGGAGGGCAGGGCGGGAGCGGGAAAGTGGGGAAGGCGAGGACTTGGCCGAGCGCTGCCGCGGGTCCGCCGGGCCGGGGAGGGCGTCCGGCCCGCGCACGCTTGCCGCAGCCTCGCCGCGCCCAGAGACCCATGTCGCGACCCCGGCCGGCCCCGAGTGGGCTTTCGAGTCGCCGGGTGTCTGAGCTGCGCGGGTGGCAGTGACAAGTCCGCCGGGCGTTATGAGGACGGATCTAAAATGATCAGCAGAAGGAGCGCTTTCCCGACGCCCCTCAGGAGATCCATCAGCGAGCAGCTACGGGACTCCACGGCCAGAGCCTGGGATCTGCTGTGGAAAAACGTCCGGGAAAGACGGCTGGCAGGTCGGTGTCCGCAGACCCCGGGGCGCGCCGCCCAAGCCTCCCCGCTGCGGCGGCTCCCGCGCCGGATCTGGGGCAGGGAGGGGTGCAGCGGCGCGCTCACCCACTCCGGGACGGCCGAGCCCCGCGCCCGTGGGTGCGGGTGCGGGTGCGGGTGCGGGCTGGGTGTGGGCCCCGCGCGCGGTCCGCTTGCGCTCACGTCGGGCGGGAGAGCACCGGGACCGTGTTCTCTGCCTGCCCTACTGCGCGGTCCCATCCCTCCCCATCCCACCCGCGAGTAAGTGCGCAGCTGGGAGCCGTCCCTCTCCCACTTCAGCCTTTTCTGTGAGGAACGCGCGCAATCAGTGATTGCCCGACGGCAGAGTCGAAGGAGTGTAGCCAGATCTCTGGGAGACCAAGAAGGCTGGAATTTGGAGGGAGACGGTAAACAGCTGTTGGCACCACCAACCAGCTGCCCTCAGTCCCTGTCCAGCTGCAGTTCAGGCCCTCTCCACTTTGGTCTAGAAAAGGAAGGGTCTGCTTAGGGGAATCCATTGCCCCAGAATCAGGAAGAGAAGATTGTGCTGAGCCCAGGAGTCTCTAAGAATCCTTGCTTAGGTCAGGAAGCCGGCCCACTCCCGGGCCAGGCCCCCAGCCTCCCTGTTGCAGCCTGGTCTGTGCCTGCTGGTCTGTGCCTACTGGTTCAGCCTTCTCCTGAGAGGGCCATGGGTACAGCCAGTGCTGTGCACCTCAGAGCCAAACTAAGAAGCTTTGAGTCCCTTTAGGTACTGAACCTACTTCCCCAGTAAGGGGACCTTGTGCGACCAGGCTCCACAGAACAGCTCCTGGGCAGCTTAGAATTCAGGCCTGCTTTGCCCCTGTGTGAGCTTCCAGAAGCCACCTCAGGAAGGGGAAAGGTATGACGGGAAGGACCCCTGAGGTGATCATGTGTGGCGTTTTGGGACCTGGTTGTCCTCCCCAGGAACATCTCCTGACATAAATACCAAGGAGTGGAAGATAATTTTACAGAAAAAAAAAGACTGAAGCCTAGGCAGAAGGAAAGAAAACAAATGACATCAAAGAATTAACCTGCTCAGGCCGCCCCCTACCCTGGTCCTTGCTATTTAGATTAGGAACTAGTAGTTGACTGGTATTCTGACCTTAAACCTAGGCAACCACATCTTCCCATCAGCCTGACAGTGTACTGGAGCAGAAGTCCAAGTGCATATTACATTGGGCAGAGTTTTATCAAGCTAGCTAAGTTAGAAGTAGGCATTGTAGATAATTCTAATACTGTGGTGAGCATAAAACATTCAGCCCATATTTTCACCCCAGCATAGTGGCTCCATTTAGTAAGCACCCAAGAAATAAACACTTTTCAGTCTGGACCCAGAAATAAATTGTGGTCACTCAGTAATTTTGACTGCTGATGTTTGAAGACTTGTATGTACTTGTATAGACTTTAATTAATAACAACTAATAACCTTCCCTTGTTATTGTGCTTAACTGTATAATCTATATGGTGGTTGGTGACATTTTTGTGGTCTAATAAACTTCAGATGCTTTATAACTTCCTAGTGCATACTGCAAATACCTCTTTCATGGTGTCTGTTAAGTTTGTTAAGTTTGTGAACTCAGTAGATCTTCAGGAAACAAGAAGTCTCTCCAGGACAGCTGCCAAGACTATGCCAGGATTTTATAGAGACCAAGACCAAAGATAACTGCAGCCCTATCCTTTTTTATAAGAAGATCTGGGAGAGAACAAAGTGCTGCATAAAGATTTAAAACTACTAAGATTGTCCAGGAAAATCATATATTCACATGGATTTAGACTTTGCAATTAAATCAGTGAAGAGAAAAAGTTTTGATTCCGGGAAATAAACGATACATAGAGATTTGAAGACTATAAATATATACAAGTAAAGACTAAAAGTGACTTCAGAATGTAAGTGTAAGAGTTCTCTGAGAGAAGTGCAACTATTTTTAAAATAGTGGTATGAGGTTTTAAGATGTTTAATCAGAATATTAATATCTGCTTACCCATAATCTGCTTACCACTCTGCTAACCATGGATGCCAGCAGGTTATTCAGCTGGGACCACACAATTCTCTGTGAGGCAGACTTCAAGCTGGGATATTTGCCACAAAACCAAGCCAACTCCATGAAGGAGCTTTTAGATGCAAATTGATTTTCTTGGGTTTTCTTGCTAAGGTAGCTAAAATATGGAACTTTGGCCATGGGACACTGAAATACTTAAATTACTAATGTTGGCATCATTTCTAGGTGAAAGTGTTCTTCATTTGTGAAAGCCTTCTTTATATGGTTCAAAGCATCAGAATAATCACCTACATGAGTATGTCTCCAGAGGGCATCTTCCCTGGCAAAAGACAATCTGGGGCTATTGTCTTTTTGGTTTTTGTTTTATTCTGGTCATCTTTTTCTATCAGATAAAAGTTTTGTGCCAGCTTTTCTTTAACTTGTATAAAATTTTATTATTACATTTTAGTCAATGGAATAGTGTTCAAAGTGCTTTATAACAAACTTGTGCTTGTTGTCCAGAGAATTCTGAAGGTAGTTGATTTTGTTACTTCTTTACATCCTAAGGAAGAAAATCTTTATTCTAATTCATATTTCACTCTGACTCTAATCTTAATTTTTATCCTATTCCTTAGGAAAAATTGTCAACTGGACAAAAGACAAAAAGAAATACAACTGTTTTGTTTTGTTTTCCATTTGCTTTTGCCTTTGCTTTTCTAGTACAGCACATTTTCTCCAGGCTTCACACTGAGCTACATTCTCATCTCTCTTTAGTTTTTACTTTGAGACAGGGTTATGCTAAATTGTTCAGTTGCCCAGGCCGGGCTTATATTTCTCTTTCCTGCCGCTCCAGAATGCTAGGATTAAGAATACAAGCATACTAAAATCTGTTGATTTCTTTATTTTTGTTTTACATTTCTTTTATTCACTTATTATTTATTTACTTATTCATTTATTTGTTTTTTTTTTACTTTTGAGGCAGATTATTGCTAAATTCCCCCAGCTGGCCTCAAAGTTCTGACCTTCCTGCCTTAGCTTCCAAGGGGCAGGTGCCACCACACCTAGATAAGCCTGTGGATTTCTGGGGTGTGGAGCCACATCCAGGAAGAAAGGGATCTATAATTGGAAAGACACTTTTAACATAGGTTACAGTGACAGAAATAATGAAACTAGTGACAGGATGAGAATGATGTTCAAATATGTTCATTTCCTCGCCAAATTACACAAGGTAATTTATTGTTAAAGAAGAGCTTATGTTGGGAGTCTTTCCTGAGCTTTCCAAATTCTGTTGTAAAATGTTTGCCAATGTATGCTCCTTAATTTCCCAAGATTCTAATCCTCATAAAGGTCAGTGAGTTTTTTCCCATCTGTCATTTGAGGACTCACTGTTGCATTGGTAGCCCTAATTTCTGTTTACTTCTAAAATGGCTGCACTAGTTGGTGCTCAAAGCAGGCTTCAAATTCAGTTCATCAGCAGTCTCAGGACATCTATGCACTTTCCTATTATACCACACTGCTTCCTCCCAAATCTTTTGTAAGGTCATGTCTTATAATTAGATTTTAAAATAAAAAAATGTCTGAGAAAAAACTAGTTTTCTTCTTTTCTAGAATGTCAAGGATAACCCTGCACACCTAAAAGAGCTTGACCCTGAGCATCCACTTGGTCTGGTTAATATATGAAGAGATAGGAAATAAATGAACATCCATACATCCCACTTGTAGGGCTTTGGTGTATACACCCCACCCCTGACTAGCGCAGGAGCTGCAAGAATGAGTGGTTGCTGCAAATCCAAAAGGAACTGTAGGTTTCTTCTGGGTGATGAGGAACAAGTTCTTTTGGCTTCCCCAGCCTCCTGATCATCCACTGCCAGTGACCATTCTAAATTTTCTACGGTGTAACTAAAGTCTTAAGAAAGAATACCCAATGACATGTGGTGTTTGTGAGCAGTTTGAACTACAGTTGCTAAGTAGTTTGAACTATTTTAATGGAAATTTAATCCATATGTTTGATTCTTTTAGACTCACATAATATAAAGGTTTGTGAACTAATTGATGTCCAAGCCTTTTGATCTCTTTTATAGTCTCATTTTAACTCATTTCTCTGAACCACAGGAAGTTATATTGCTGCCAAGAATACACTAATTGTCATGTTAAAACAGATTCATTCTCAGTCAATAGTTGCATCCTGTGATATAAACATGAGATTGGATCTTTAGTATAAAGCAGGATCAATAATAAAACACAGGGCATATAAAGCTCCTCATTAAAATCTGAGTTCTACGATATCAACAGTGTAGGGTGGTACTAGTCAGTCCTTTCCACGCATAGTATCCCACATCCTTTGTATTCTCACATTATTATGAAGAATAAGCCATCCTACTCTGTTCAGCTTTTTTTTTCTGTAGTTGTTGCTGCTCTTTTTGAAAAATACAGAGTTCACCAAAAAATTTATGCATACTTCAGGAAAAGAAAATCTTGCATATACATTTTAATACTAAATTTATCAGGACATCATGAGATGAATACAAGGTACCTTTGACCTCTACAATTACAAGAAGTGTTCAAAGTGATGGTCATTATTAGCCTCTAGACATTTATTATTTTTCTTTTCCTGAAGCATGGACACATTTTCTGAAAAGTTCCATATTTCTTGACGGGTCTACTTTGAGATGCAGTTTATATTAATAATAATAAAAAATTACCTAAATCAAGCAACTATACAATTAAAACTACAGGAGAGTACGTATTTAGCATCCTCAACCTTTACTACACATAGAAGCATCTGAAGCCTTTCAGAACACAGATCCATGGCCTCTCCCAGAGACTCTGATTCAGTTTAGTTACTATGTGGGTATCCATTTATTTTAAAACTGCAGAAAATTTCACTATGCACTGGGGTTAACAATCAATAATTTACATTAACTACCACATGATAATTTACAGAATTTTGGATCTAGTATAAGGCTATCTGGTTGAGAATCCTTCAT